GGGTAAATACTAATTGTTAGTCAATATAATTATAAACTTCGGGGTGAATATTTATTGCAAACTTTATGTACTACCTCTAGCAAAAAGTATTTGACCACTTTTTAAGACGCAATAATTTTTTTCAAAGTGATCTAATTGACTTGAATTTTTTTTTAAAGTTTAAAAGTTAAAAAGCGAGTGTTTTTATTTTCTGTTGTCATTTTATGTAATAGCAGAAATAAAAAAAGATATGCTAGTCATTATACTGTAAACTAGTCCCTTTAACACTTAAAAAAAGATTTAAGTCAATTGAACCAGTTTGAAAAAATTTATGCATTTTAAAAAGTGGACTTTTTACCAGGGATTGTTCATATTAACTTTAAATTTCTATTTATTATTGGAGAAAATATTACAGATACAATTTAAAAAAAATATTGTTCACATAATCGGTATTTCTAAAAGATATCAATATAACAAACATGAATAAATAAAGGGCAGTAGAAAAAACATACGACATAAATTTGAAGAAACATCAATTACTATGGAAATGATTATTATGAAAAAAGTAATAGTTTGAAAAATATATTAATTACATATTCCAAAAAAAATATGAAACAGCGGATTCAATGCATAAATTTGAACAATCTTACCACAATCGCAGATTATCACAACCAGTTTAGACTTTAGTCAACACAAGATAATCTCAGTTATCAGTTCACAAGATTCCTTATCCTACACAGTCACGAAAATCAACATAATCGAGTGCAGCACATCGCGAACAATTACTATATTATTCAAACAATTCAACTTCCCGCTTCGCTGCAGCAAAACGTAACAACGTAGCAACGTCGATACCCGTCGATGCAGAAATGCATCGGTCCCGAAACTCGTCTCGCACGGAAAAGGTCCTAGATCCCGTCGACAATTGACAGCCGACGTGACAGAGAGTGATTGTCAGTCTCGAGATAGTTGAAACTCGGGCAAAATGTAGTTGGTTTCATTGTTCCCCTGCACCAGAAACTGTCTCTTTGCTTCTTGCTGCCAGTGAACGTGTATGCCTCGTTGGTGTGATGCAACGTTTATGTCATCGTCACTTTACTTTTAACTAGAAACATTGTAGAAAATCATTGGCTGCGCTCATTCAACCGTTTGCGTTTTAGAAAGTCAGATTATCACTCGAGTAATACTTTTATTCATTAAAACTAACATTTTAAATATCGATAATTGTTGATTGTTGTGGGACCTACGAAAAATAGAAAACACTTGAACTTCTTTATTGGAAGTTGCAAAATTAAAATCAACAGACTGCGGATTTTGATGCGAAATAATAATTGTCTGAGTTGATTTTGATCATTTTGAGAAGGGTTTTAATCATATCACTTAGTAATTTTAATAATTGCAATACAAAAATCTTATCCAATTCTCTTGTTTGATCCCTTCGACAAGTTTCATTTCACTTTGGCATATTTCCTTTACCGTTCATACCAACAGAGATGTTCAGTTCTGTTTTTCATTACTGTTTTCGATACTATACTGTTTTCGATACTAAAATTCCGCGATTACAAAATCTCTCGGATTGTAAGGCCGATTACGCTAAGCGACGGAATTGATTAGTATCGCTGTTCGTCTAATTAAAGATGAACAGCTGTTTAATTTTGAAGAATGAATTGAAGCACAATAAAGCACTCAATTCGATGATCGAAGGTTGAAAGACTATCTGAGTAGTAGACTAGCGTGAGCTGGAGTCTACTATAGTTGACTGACTAACTGAATAGTAGACTAGCGTGAGCTAGAGTCTACTGAAGACGAGACTGTCCGAGAGGATTGGAGACAACTGTCCTGAATAACAGGAGGGAAGACTATCTGAGTAGTAGACTAGCGTGAGCTGGAGTCTACTATAGTTGACTGACTAACTGAATAGTAGACTAGCGTGAGCTAGAATCTACTGAAGACGAGACTGTCCGAGAGGATTGGAGACAACTGTCCTGAATAACAGGAGGGAAGACTATCTGAGTAGTAGACTAGCGTGAGCTGGAGTCTACTATAGTTGACTGACTAACTGAATAGTAGACTAGCGTGAGCTAGAGTCTACTGAAGACGAGACTGTCCGAGAGGATTGGAGACAACTGTCCTGAATAACAGGAGGGAAGACTATCTGAGTAGTAGACTAGCGTGAGCTGGAGTCTACTATAGTTGACTGACTAACTGAATAGTAGACTAGCGTGAGCTAGAGTCTACTGAAGACGAGACTGTCCGAGAGGATTGGAGACAACTGTCCTGAATAACAGGAGGGAAGACTATCTGAGTAGTAGACTAGCGTGAGCTGGAGTCTACTATAGTTGACTGACTAACTGAATAGTAGACTAGCGTGAGCTAGAGTCTACTGAAGACGAGACTGTCCGAGAGGATTGGAGACAACTGTCCTGAATAACAGGAGGGAAGACTATCTGAGTAGTAGACTAGCGTGAGCTGGAGTCTACTATAGTTGACTGACTAACTGAATAGTAGACTAGCGTGAGCTAGAGTCTACTGAAGACGAGACTGTCCGAGAGGATTGGAGACAACTGTCCTGAATAACAGGAGGGAAGACTATCTGAGTAGTAGACTAGCGTGAGCTGGAGTCTACTATAGTTGACTGACTAACTGAATAGTAGACTAGCGTGAGCTAGAGTCTACTGAAGACGAGACTGTCCGAGAGGATTGGAGACAACTGTCCTGAATAACAGGAGGGAAGACTATCTGAGTAGTAGACTAGCGTGAGCTGGAGTCTACTATAGTTGACTGACTAACTGAATAGTAGACTAGCGTGAGCTAGAGTCTACTGAAGACGAGACTGTCCGAGAGGATTGGAGACAACTGTCCTGAATAACAGGAGGGAAGACTATCTGAGTAGTAGACTAGCGTGAGCTGGAGTCTACTATAGTTGACTGACTAACTGAATAGTAGACTAGCGTGAGCTAGAGTCTACTGAAGACGAGACTGTCCGAGAGGATTGGAGACAACTGTCCTGAATAACAGGAGAGAAGACTATCTGAGTAGTAGACTAGTGTGAGCTGGAGTCTACTGAAGACGAGACTGTCTGAGAGGATTGGAGACAACTGACCTGAATAACAGGAGAGAAGACTATCTGAGTAGTAGACTAGTGTGAGCTGGAGTCTACTGAAGACGAGACTGTCTGAGAGGATTGGAGACAACTGACCTGAATAACAGGAGAGAAGACTATCTGAGTAGTAGACTAGTGTGAGCTGGAGTCTACTGAAGACGAGACTGTCTGAGAGGATTGGAGACAACTGACCTGAATAACAGGAGAGAAGACTATCTGAGTAGTAGACTAGCGTCAGCTGGAGTCTACTGGAGTTGAAGAGTTGAATGTAGCAGTAGACTAGCGTGAGCTGGAGTCTACTGAAGTTAACTGAAGCAGATTGACTGCGATTCAGAACTTAGTTGAAATGGACAGCGCGTGCCTGTTGAAACAGAGTCGATGACTAGAGACCAAGCGAGAATGACTGAGTTTATCTGACACTGACTGATCGACGAGATGAATGAGACTAAAAGACGAATAGAAGCAAAGACTGATAGACAAGACAAGTCTAGAGACTGGCGAATGGACCAGACGACAAAAAGACAAGACACAAGACCAGAGGTTGACCAAGAGAAGAATCAGTTTCGAGTTTTTATACCGTTTTGTGGACAGAAGACTAGAAACTGATTGGCCAGCAAGGCGATGGAAGGGGATCTAAAAGTGACGTAGCACGCAGTGCCGCAGATAGCAAGAAACCCCGGGTGACCGAAGCGGTGCGAGCTAGCAACCCTGTTATTAACCCTTTCGGTACGAGCGCCGGATATATCGGCATCCATCTGATGACCAATATGGACAAGTGCCGAATACATCTGGCATCCATGTAAGCCATATTTCTGACATATTAGAAACTATTCTAATAACCGTTTGAGTCCCAAGCAGCGCTATCATGCTGTTTGGCATTTTTCAACCGTGTTTTCTGTATAATTCCTGGGACTCAAACGGATAAAGTCTTTTCTTACAAGGATTCCGAAAAAACAGTTACAGGTATAATTGTCGTTTGACCTGAATTGATTAAAAAAATATCAGGTTACATTTTTCTTCGAAACTTGTTCATAGATTTTAACGTATTGTAGGCCCTTTACAGAATGTTTACAGGAAACATTTAAAGAAAGATTTAGAAACGGATTAACCCTTTGACTACTGTTGGCGCCTATTGGCGTCCGAAACATGTTGGCTTCCCGGTACTGTAGGCGCCTATTGGCGTCCTACTTTTTCATTTATTCGATTTAGCGGTATATAACACACTTATATTATATAACTATGTATCTGGAAGAAATTTAACATTTCGTAAATTTCATTTAAATTTAATAAAACAAATATTAAGAAAATACAGCTTGGATGAAACTAATGGATATAAATTAAAAGGTAAAGAGATACTAACAACGAACCTTTTCGTTTGACACAAAAGCATTTTCCGTCTCCATATGAAAGCAATACAAAGCAATGCAAGGCCTAAATGTGTAGTGTGTGTGTGAAAAATGATAAGAGAAAGGTTACACATTACGAATGCAAAAAATGTAATGTAGGATTATGTGTTCATCCATGTTTTGAAATGTATCGCACGTTATTATATTACTAAATTTGATGATTAAATATTGTAAAAACAGCTTAACATTAATGTTCACTTCAAGTAATATTGGTTTGATGTAATAAAATTCAGTATTTTGAATATTTTAATATACTTCCTCGGAAATGCGTGTCTAACGAAAAACTTCGCCGTACACAGTGGACGTCGCGAGTAAATTCGTACCGTACCGTACGGCCGGTGCGTGCCAAAGTCTGCCGTAGCCNAAGTGCCGAATACATCTGGCATCCATGTAAGCCATATTTCTGACATATTAGAAACTATTCTAATAACCGTTTGAGTCCCAAGCAGCGCTATCATGCTGTTTGGCATTTTTCAACCGTGTTTTCTGTATAATTCCTGGGACTCAAACGGATAAAGTCTTTTCTTACAAGGATTCCGAAAAAACAGTTACAGGTATAATTGTCGTTTGACCTGAATTGATTAAAAAAATATCAGGTTACATTTTTCTTCGAAACTTGTTCATAGATTTTAACGTATTGTAGGCCCTTTACAGAATGTTTACAGGAAACATTTAAAGAAAGATTTAGAAACGGATTAACCCTTTGACTACTGTTGGCGCCTATTGGCGTCCGAAACATGTTGGCTTCCCGGTACTGTAGGCGCCTATTGGCGTCCTACTTTTTCATTTATTCGATTTAGCGGTATATAACACACTTATATTATATAACTATGTATCTGGAAGAAATTTAACATTTCGTAAATTTCATTTAAATTTAATAAAACAAATATTAAGAAAATACAGCTTGGATGAAACTAATGGATATAAATTAAAAGGTAAAGAGATACTAACAACGAACCTTTTCGTTTGACACAAAAGCATTTTCCGTCTCCATATGAAAGCAATACAAAGCAATGCAAGGCCTAAATGTGTAGTGTGTGTGTGAAAAATGATAAGAGAAAGGTTACACATTACGAATGCAAAAAATGTAATGTAGGATTATGTGTTCATCCATGTTTTGAAATGTATCGCACGTTATTATATTACTAAATTTGATGATTAAATATTGTAAAAACAGCTTAACATTAATGTTCACTTCAAGTAATATTGGTTTGATGTAATAAAATTCAGTATTTTGAATATTTTAATATACTTCCTCGGAAATGCGTGTCTAACGAAAAACTTCGCCGTACACAGTGGACGTCGCGAGTAAATTCGTACCGTACCGTACGGCCGGTGCGTGCCAAAGTCTGCCGTAGCCGAAGGGTTAAGCACAGTCATTACTTAACACGTTCCGTGCCGAGCTTTTTTTTACTCGAATCTTCACACTTTGATATTTTACTAAAACTTGATGTATTACGTGCAATTATTAATTCTCGTACACATAACAACGTAACAAAAACTTATCAACGCCCATTCTTGCGGTGGAAATTGATTCTTCGGTTCTAAATTTCTTGTAAACAATTTGTTCAGTTCACTAAGTAAACATGCAAGCGTGTACCATCGATGGTACACGTGGCACGGAACGTGTTAATCAAGTATACGATTCCAAACAGATAAAGCTAGGATATCGGTGATCTTGCAAATTGTTGAAGACAATGATCTTAAAAACTCCGAAGCAAATGACCGTGGAGGCAGAATATTATAATGGGAAATTGGTGGTTTGATATCATCGGTATTGCGAGCTTTAAGAATGCACTGTTTTAGTATTCGCTGTTATGCCTTCCCGATGATATATTAATTATTATTAGTAGTATTATTAATTCCGTTCAATTGTTGCAATGTCGTCATAAACAATGTAATCAGGATGAAGACGGCAAAGAACCACAACTAAAAATTGATAAGAATATATTCAGTTAAGAAACGATGAAGCTATTGTGTGATATCGCGTTTTCCAATAATCACGAGTTTACTACAATACATCACCTAATCCAGAGCTAAACCTGTATTTAAAAGGTTCAATTTTTCTGCTTACTATGTGCATTCTGTCCAAGGTTGTCCGTATTAACAAGTCCCAAAAGGTTCATACCCAAAATTCCAGTAAGCCAACCCTTCTTATACGCCAAATAATTATAGGCTAGATCAAAGTCAAGGGACAGGGCCGTAGTCTCGTTTACGTATCCAATCATCATGCCTATCCAGTTCATATGATCCTGGAGGTTCTTGCCTACCGGCAGATTAGCCACTACCTGAATTCCCATGTCCTATAGATGCTTCTTGGACCCTATTCCCGAAAGCATCAGCAACTGAGGACTGGTGATGCTGCCCGCTGACAGAATGACTTCCTTGGAGGCGGTTAAGTCTGTGATCCCGCCCTTAGACGTCACACGGACGCCCACTGCCTTATTGCCCTTCAGCAGAACCTTGTCGCCTCTGGTGGACTTCATCACATGCAAATTCTTCTTGTCTTTGATTAGAGACAAAAAGGCTCTGACAGTGTTCATTCGCTCTCCGTTATCTAGGATACCGCAGGTTCTCCCGAAACCAATGTAGCGGTCGCTAACTACAGGCTCCAGCACACCGATGCCCATCTTCCGAGCTGCCTCTAGCAAAAGCTCGGAAACGATAGAATCAGAATCATTGAACATCTTAATACTCATCGGACCGTTCGTCCCGCAGTGTCTGTCTCCGTACTTTGCTATGTACTCTGGCGAACAGTTGGTTGCCTTTCGAAGGTATCGAAGTATGTTCTCGTAGCCCCAGCCTTCGTTGCCTTGCTCCTCCCACTGGTTGTAGTCTCTGTCATTGCCGAACACGTTTAACATTGCGTTTATTACTGAACTGCCGCCAAGGGCCTTGCCCTTGTGCCAACCGCACCGCTTGTTCTTGTTGCCCTGGCAGGAGCCAGGCTGCGGCTCTGTCTGAAGACAAGATTAACCAAGTTATGTTTTACTTTTTACAAGAAGTCACATGATGCGCATTCATAGTCACAACAGCTGTCCATTCCACTCTCAGTACGTCAAACTTGCGATACCTGGAGTAGAGTAGACGTTTAGTATCACTGTGAACATATTTCAGATATCTTCTTTTGGAAGTTGGTCTATAGATAGTAGATAAATTTGGTAACGCAATCTCATCATACGTGCGTGTGAAATGACATGGTGATTTGGGAAAATTGGTTGCCATTTGAAAGGTTTCCATAAAAAAACCACTGTAACCATTTTCTCTATCATAATGTCGCGAATTTGGTTACGTTTTTATGAAGTCCAACTGCTGCGAGTTAGAGGCTTGTTGAAATAGTGACGACAGGGGTCAGTGACCTAACTGTGACCGGCAAGTACTGTGATCTATGATTCTAGTCCGGATGACAATAATTATCCTCATTCACCGAGTGAAAGCAATGAGATTCAACGTCAGGATGTTTTCTTTTGAAGGGTAGTGAATAGTTAGAACTGCAGTAAATAGATCTATTTTGGGAATATAATCTCTCCTGATATATGTGAAATGGCATTCTGGTTTGGAGATTCTCAAAAGAATCCGGTTCCACGTTTTTGTTTATCGTAATTAAAAATAAGTTTTAATGTCGCAGGTTTAGTTATGATTCTATGAATATTGCTCTGAGACAAACGCTTATGGAAACAGTGACCTAACTGCGGTTAGCAAGTACAATGTTCTATGACCTACTCCGGAGAATAGTAATTTTAATCACTGACCAAAAAAGTGAAAGCAATGGAATCCATTGTAGGTAACTTAGTGGGAGCAGCCAAAATAGTGATAACTCTTATCGAGCACTTATGTAGAACGCAATGGTGATCAACTCAACCAGAATTGTAAATACCGCGGTCACTGAAGTTCGCTGTAGATGTCCTTGTTAAAATGCTACCAACATCGATGGTATTTATGATCCGCGATCATAACTCAGTCACTATGGTCACTGACTCAATGGGACAATGAAAAACTATGGCCAGTAACATAATGAGGGCGTGACAAACTATGGTCGGCGACACAGTCAGAACTGCAGGATTATAGACGAAGACGTAGTAGAATAGTTAAACTGAGGTAGCAAATCAGTAGTTACAATAACAATTTATGAGCAGTGACTTAATAGAAATAGCAGGAAGCAAAATCAGCGACCGAATGTGAATGCGTATACCTTATAAGCATAGCTTTCAGCAGTGTTCACTAGAGCCGTCACAAATCCAGGGACTTCACTGGTGGGACTAGCATCCTTCCCTGCCTCGATCAACAGAACATCTCAGCCATCCACCTCTGCTAGTCGCTAGGCTACCACAGAGCCCGCAGACCCGCTTTCAACAATCACAATATCAAAATCTTTTTTCAATAGAATCTCTGTCGTGCAATCCGGCGGATAATCCGCGCTTCCATTCAAAGTGCATTGCGAGAGCAAGAGCACATGGATCAGCTGCGAGAACAGGTTAATTAGCGCTGGCGCTAACGCCGCGTGGCAGCTTGCTAACATACAGGTTTTTGTGTTGTGTGGTCTGACAGACAATGGTGAATGTGGAATATTTCTTGGAATAACAAAAAGAAGCTTTGTAAAATTTGAATCAAGTATAGCAGACCTGGGCAACAAAACATTGTAAAAATTTCTTTTATGTGATCACAAAATGTATCATCTTTTTTAATTATGATATTTACATTTACGTCTAGTCCAGAAAATGTCTAACTCTGAGTGTTTTGAGTTGCCCCTACCATTAACTACTCCAATTGGTTGCCATAGGTATACGACATATAAATAATTTATCGGCTCCTTTGTATTGTGCAACGAATTTGTATTGTATTGTAATGTATTGCATGAATAAAGATATGGTAAAATATCAACATTGACGTAATAAGTGGTTGATTGTTTATCTTCGATAATGGACAATTGCTATTTATGTAAATGATTGAAATATACTTAAAATTCCAGTGGAAATGGAATTCATTCAAATTAGCTAATAATTTCTATATCTGCATGGTTCTAAATTTTATTCTTATCAAGTCTTGTAAATTGTTATGAGTTCTTATGATTATTTCTAACCAATTCCTATCATTGTAATTTATTTGAATTTGTATTTTACTTGTAGCTGGATTGTATTACATATTTTGTATGTAAATATTAAAAGTTTGTTAACTGCGTCTGTAAATACTTAATGAAAACGGAAAATTCTTAATTGAAATGTTGTACTCAACTGAAACTGCAGTTTTTGATTGTTCACCACTTACTATGTATACCATTCGACCAATCATCACAAAAAAGTTCGAGTTTCAATATTTTTGTTTCATGTCTGACAGTATCTCGCTCACTTGTAAAACTAATTTAGCTGCGTAGAAATATAATGTTTCCTCTGTATCTACATATATTACATATCATACTCATTTTCAGCATTGCAGACCATTATTATATTAGAAACGATTAAACCGTTAAAGAAATGCATTAGAATGACCTTTTGTCCTTGAATTGTATAAACTTTGCCATAAATCCTTATAAAATTGTTTTAATCAAACAAATAATAGAAATAATTTCGACCGTCTAAATCGACAAAATACCCAACTTTCGTCTCGCATCGATGTTACTCATCGCCAGACGTTCACCGCCACCGTGAGCCAATTGCTTCAACGAATTTCAATCTCCAATGATACACCTAAAATCTATCTAAAATTTTCTGATTTTGGCCACAAATTATTGTTTAACAAACCACTGTGCAATGTCGGATTACCGAGTCACCGAAACTATTAAGGAAGAAGTCCCTCTGAGTGGACGATTGGTAACCAACTTTCACACACACACACACACACGGTCCCTTCGACTTCAACTCAGATCTCAGATCATTCTCAAACCCAGGTTAACCTGATATTAATTATATCCGATTTTATTATTATTAATTATAATATTAATTATTGTTAATCAATATTACTCATTAATATTATTATTAATTAATAGTGCTACTTATTTATATTATTATTATTAAGTATAATATTATTATAATTATTAATTATGATAATTAATATTATTATTAATTTATAATTTACACTTAAATCACACTACTGCTCGCACAACAGTGATCTTCATTTCGGCAGTTCGATTATAGAGAAGCGAGGCTTCCGCCGCTCTTCCTAGCTTGCGCACCGCAATAAGATTTAGCCTTCTGCACAGTGAAGGCAGATCAAGACCTTTTCTCCACCTCAGCCTTCCCCTTCGATGACGCTGTTCCACTATTTTTCGGTGGTATGCATCCCAACCTTAGACTATATTCTACTTTAGAAAAAGACACAACACAAAATCGAGAAATGAGGGGTTCCTAATGTTATTTGAAGTTACTTTTTCCTTAGCGCAAATGCAATTCGCGAATAGTTTATTCACGAACAATTTATTTCGAATATTTCATTCATAAATAATTAATTCATGATAAATTGTTATTTGTCTTTACGAATAAAAATGATTAGTTTCTCCTGCATTTCAAAAGACATTATATATTTGTCCTTCTTTTTTTTATTATTTGCTATACTACTGATATAAGTAATAGTCTACTTTCCCACCTAAAATTCCCATAACGTTTTCCCGAAAAAGTTTGTTTCTAACATTACAAATTTCAGAATAATTAATTATTCAATATTATAATATTGACGTGACATATTTTGAAATTTATGCATCTTGTGCTGACAACTCAGAACACATTTTTAAATAATGAATTTCAACACATCGTATAATGATAATATGTATATACACGACATATCTATTATATGTATTATTATTATACGAT